TCATTGGAAGGACTGATGTTGAAGCTGAAACTCCAATACTTTGGCCACCTGATGCGAAGAATTGGCTCATTTGAAAAGACTCTGATGCTGGGAAAGATTGAAGGCAGGAGAAGGGGATGACAGAGGATGAGATGGTTGTATGGTATCACTGACTCAATGGACATGGGTTTGAGTAAACTCCAGGAGTTGGTGATCGACAGGGAGGCCTGGCGTGCTGCAGTCCATGAAGTTGCAAAGAGTCAGACACGACTGAGAGACTGAACTGAACTGAACTGAATCATTTTCTCTTAGTTTCCTACAAAGTCCATTTTTAAAAAACTCAAACCTATCTCTGAGATTATAAGAAAAGAAGACAATGATGTGTCAGCACCTGAGCTAAGTAAGTCTAGGGAGAGGAGAGTGAGGAACACAAAAGAGAAATCTCCAGAAGCCAAGATGGAGGTAGAAATCCTGAAATTACCACTGACTCACAATGTCACTTACAGGTCTTTTTGATTTTTTTAGGCTTTGCCAACTCCTAGAAAGCTGACCTGTATTTCTTAAGTAAATATTTTATTACCTCTTAAGGACTAGAGTGAAGGTAGATAATATTTGCTGAGTGTCTATGAAGAATTTAGCATCTTGCTGGCATCTCACATATACTATCTGATTTAACAGAGCTCTCAATAACAGAAGAAGCTGGTGATGTCAGCACCACCAGTAAATTGATTCAATTTACCATGAAGCCATTATATTAGGTGATGCCAACAGCTGAGACTGATTCAATTCACCATGAAGTGGGCTAAATTGATTCAGTCCTGTCCCACTCTTTGTGACCCTATGGACTGTAGCCCACCAGACTCCTCTGTCCATGCAGAGTCTTCAGGCAAGAATACTGGAGTGGGTTGCCATGCTTTCCTCCAGAATATTAGAAGTAGAAAGTGAAAGTCATTCAGTCGTGTCTGACTCTGTGATTCCATGGAATTCTTCATGCCAGAATACTGGATTGGGTAGCTGTCCCCTTCTCCAGGGGATCTTCCCAACCTAGGGATCAAACCAAGTTCTCCCACATTGCAGCCAGATTCTTTACCATCTGCTTTTTGCTTTCCTTTTGCTGTCATATATTGCAGCAGATATTCAATGTTCGTTAAATGAAATAATGATTTTAAAAAAAGGGGGGGCGCGATGAATTATTTCCACTGAAGTGAATAAACAGAAGCTGTGAGCTTCTACCCAGGGAGCTAAATACACAAATTTAATAAGGCTGGCCCCTACCACAAGCACCCTTTCCTTCCCTCTCCTGACTATGATCTGGTGACATTCAACACTCAGAAAATCCTCTAGTGCCTTTTGCTTATGTATTCTACCCTCGGCTCAGTTCAATTCAGTTGCTCAGTCGTGTCTGACTCTTTGCAGCCCCAACAAAAGCAATTGCCTGTGGGTCCTCTCTCTCGCTAGATTCCCCCAGCTGCTTGGTTGCACTGGTCCCTCAATGTTCCCACTGCATGACTCCCTCATGGCATGCAATGCCTCTCTCTCTCGCCAAGCTGTGAATATAATAAATTCTGTTTTCTTAAACAGAATTTCTTCTTGCAACCATACCTGACTAACCATCTCATGAAAAATGCAAAACACGCTCAAATGACTGCTTGGTTGCACTGGTCCCTCAATGTTCCCACTGCATGACTCCCTCATGGCATGCAATGCCTCTCTCTCTCGCCAAGCTGTGAATATAATAAATTCTATTTTCTTAAACCTCTTTCTTTTCTCTTCTTGCAACCACACCTGACTAACCATCTCATGAAAAATGCAAAACACGCTCAAATGGTTTCACAAAATGCTCATCTACTGCACCCAAAGACACAACAAGTCAAGACTGACACTGGCATGGAATCATGATTGGTCCCAAGCCTCCTGGAGACCATGAATGAGTAACAAGGGAAGACACACAGGTGAGAACCTTCCTTCCAGCACTTGACCTGCTGAGGTCTCTCTGTCTCCTGAGTATCCACTTTACCTCCAAACTTCAGGCACAACTCTGTATTATCTCAATCATCTCCCATATTCTAGATAAAAACCTAGATATACACAAGAAAAACTCACTCCAGAGTGGAAAAAAAAGTAAAAGACACAAGCAAGAGTCAAAGAAAACAGCTATCTAAAATAAAAGCTAACTATTTTTCAGTTCAATTTCCATTTAAAATTCCAGGGATGAATAAGGATAGCCTAAAGAAAGTTGTTCCTCTAAGGTGCATTAATCATCAAAACCAGAGATGGAAGTGACTGCATAATCCATTTAATTCTTCCTCAAGGCAAGCCAGAAATACACCTTATAGTTTCCTTCCTAAAGTACATACAATATCATATCCTGAATAGAACCATATGCCATAATAATTCATATTTTATGGACAAGACAGGTTAAAAGTTTGAAGAATAAACTTTAGACTCAGTACGCTTCATTGTAACCTTCTTTAATTTTTTTAACAATTGAGTACTACAAGGAAGGAAAATTTTATGGGACATATGATGGCTGAGTTTTCCACTAATAAGATGACTCCTGCAAGCCCTTCAAACACTATTGCCAGTTGTAGTTAAATGGCAATGGACAGTTAAGTGAAAGCACATATTCCATTTTAATATGAGTGATTCTGTACACCAGTATAGTGTTGACAGTTTGCAAAAATTTAATGCATATAATTTTGATATCATGCAAATTAGCATGTTTGAGGTGTGGTGAAGGTTTTAAGACATGCACATGTTTTAGTTTGTTGGTTTTATACAAAGTGACCTCAACTAACAGCAAACTGAATTATTGTCTGAAAAGCTACTGGCCTTGCAGATAGATTGAAATCATATCTAGCATACTATATGCAAAAAATGAGTTAACCAACATGCAATCCATTCAACCAATACTTATTGAGCATCTACTACATAGCTCCTATGTAAGAGTCATTTATAAAGCTCCATTTGGTGACTTGTGTGACCTTTAGGGAAGCACTAAAATCTGCATTCTATACAAGTTCTTCATTTTTTATTTTCATATCCTGTTTCCTTTAACCTTATTTTCACCAAGAGGGTGGGAATAAAGACAAGAAATCTTTACTGCCTACTCAGCAAAATGTTTAAAATCTCAGTCCAATAAAGGGTCCTGAGAAGCTCACAGCTGGCTTCAACTCAGTGCAATTACGGAATGAAAACAGTGCTTTTGTCAAAGCCTGCTTAAAAGTTTCCATGCCTGACTTGCAAATACTTAAAGGAAGTAATAGCTACTCTGCAACCTGAAAGGTCCCAAAGACCTGGGTCAATAGCTCAGCATCTGGTGTGGTCACTGTTTACCTTCTATTAACATTTTAAAACTTAAATGAAGTAATTTCTCTCAATTGCTTTTATATGGCTTTATATGCCCCCAAGGACAGAGAGAGACAATCTGCCTTTATTGGCCATAAGGACAATTTTGAATTGTTAAGTGGAAAGTAATAATATAAATGGAACTTAAGACTTCATGATCACAGGAAGTTCAGCTTTTTGAAATTTCTCAACGAAAGAAAGTAATTACTTAATTTTGCTTACCTAGTATTGTTTTTTTTTTTTACAGTTTAGAATCACATAACATAAAACACATTCCTCAAAGGGAATATGTTAATGTTAAAGTTTATAATTGCCTCAATGTCATCTGACAATTAGCTGCTTTTAAATACCATAAACTGGCCCCAATTTCCCAATGCAGTGGTTGGAGCAGTGCAGAGTGGGAGGAAGAAAGATATTTATTTTGTTGATGACGTATCTGGAGTAGAGTCCCCTGATGTGTAACTAACCTAGCAGACATGAATAGGAACCTCAGATTCTATACTGTGTTGGGGACTGGGGCTCACTGGATATTTGCTGATTTTTAACAAAAATGATCCAGTCCATAAAGTATGTTGCAAGTATCTACAAAATTGCAATAAAGAGAGCAGAAAGAGTACAGTGTCAGGAGACAGATGACATGGCTGCAAATTTTTTTTTCACTTATTTACTTTGAGTTCTTGTCAGGACACTCTACAAACGTCATAGTGTGTGTGTGTGTGTGTGTGTGTGTGTGTGTGTGTGTAGGAGTATGTGTGTCCACCTGTCTCACAGGAGTATTGTGGGATACAACAAAGTATATCAAAGAATGTTACAAACGCTAAAGCTAAATAGTAATGTAAGAGATTATTGTATTTGTAAGGAATGAAGCTCAGCATCTGGTCTGGTCACTGTTTACCTTCTATTAACATTTTAAAACTTAAATGAAGTAATTTCTCTCAATTGCTTTTATATGGCTTTATATGCCCCCAAGGACAGAGAGAGACAATCTGCCTTTATTGGCCATAAGGACAATTTTGAATTGTTAAGTGGAAAGTAATAATATAAATGGAACTTAAGACTTCATGATCACAGGAAGTTCAGCTTTTTGAAATTTCTCAACGAAAGAAAGTAATTACTTAATTTTGCTTACCTAGTATTGTTTTTTTTTTTTACAGTTTAGAATCACATAACATAAAACACATTCCTCAAAGGGAATATGTTAATGTTAAAGTTTATAATTGCCTCAATGTCATCTGACAATTAGCTGCTTTTAAATACCATAAACTGGCCCCAATTTCCCAATGCAGTGGTTGGAGCAGTGCAGAGTGGGAGGAAGAAAGATATTTATTTTGTTGATGACGTATCTGGAGTAGAGTCCCCTGATGTGTAACTAACCTAGCAGACATGAATAGGAACCTCAGATTCTATACTGTGTTGGGGACTGGGGCTCACTGGATATTTGCTGATTTTTAACAAAAATGATCCAGTCCATAAAGTATGTTGCAAGTATCTACAAAATTGCAATAAAGAGAGCAGAAAGAGTACAGTGTCAGGAGACAGATGACATGGCTGCAAATTTTTTTTTCACTTATTTACTTTGAGTTCTTGTCAGGACACTCTACAAACGTCATAGTGTGTGTGTGTGTGTGTGTGTGTGTGTGTGTGTGTGTAGGAGTATGTGTGTCCACCTGTCTCACAGGAGTATTGTGGGATACAACAAAGTATATCAAAGAATGTTACAAACGCTAAAGCTAAATAGTAATGTAAGAGATTATTGTATTTGTAAGGAATGATTTTAAAAATTAATAAAACATCTTCCTTCAGAACAACTTATAAATAAAACTATAATACCATATTTTCTATTTCACATAATTCCCAGTTCCTACATTAAAACTTTTGGCCTGGATTTAAAGGAATGGTTCTTATTTTACACTGGCATAGTTATTGTTACCTTTTAAGGGTATGTGGGATTCCAGAATGCTGACTGTTCTTAGTAACAAGAGGCAGTGAAAATTTGTCCCCAGAGCTCCACATTCTGGAGGAAACTGGTGAAATCTTATGTTTGCTTTTCACGGAAATTAAGAAAAAAAGAAAAACAAACAAACAGTTTGGTAGAAAGCCCAAGTAGGAAAGGAAGCTGATGACTCTACTAAAAATGAAGGTAGGTAGAGATTTTCATCTGACATGGAATCATTAGAAATGGTCACTGTATTTTTTACCTAGAATAATCTCCAGTAATTGAACAGAACCAGATATATAGCCTTTTAGTGAAGGCTAGTGAGAGAGTAAATATAAGAAAGTGCTTGGAAATAAATGGAATGAAACAGAATTCCAAAATCACTTTTACAATATCACTACTATAAAAGAACAGAAATGGAAGTATGTGTGTATTTGAAGATGGAGTCTTACATTTATCACATTTCTAGTTAACTTAATAAGATCTCATCTGAGGCTTATTATATGCCTTCATGGAAATGTAGGCAGTTATCACCTGCTAAGAATTGGAGCAACGAATCAAAATTAAGGAGCCAGTGTCTCTAACATCCAGAAGGCCATGCAGGATTCCACAGACAAATGGAGATGCTGAGGCCCCAGAGTGATGAGTAGAAAGAGTCTTGATTTGCTATGGGTAATTCACAGCTTTCAGCAACTTTTCACTCTTGAACTAGTACCTTATACTGGTGGAAACGACAAAGGCAGCTTGTAAGATCTTTATTGGCAAAATATTATACCTCTATCAAGCCCTTATATTGTTTGTGATATTGACTCTTTATAGATCATGATTAGAAATGATAATGAGGATAATGATAATCAATTCTCAACTGAAAGCTCCACACATCCTCAGCAATGCCTCCCAGGGTTGGGAGGAGGAGGCTGATGTCACAGAGTGACACAGTGTCAGGGCTGCAAGGAAGCACAGAGGCCATCCTCTTTGATTTTTCTCTAGAGGACACTGCAGGTCAGGAGCAAATAGGGTGAGGATGAAAGGTTTGCTCAAGGTCTTAAGGGTCAATAGCAGAATCAGAGCTAACTTTCAGGTTTTCAGACCCTCAGTAAAATATTCTCTCTACTGTATTCACAGTCTCCTTTATAGTTTTTTACAACTGCAGGAAGAGGAAGGAGATAAGGAAATCTAATAAATTTGACTGCTAAGTCAGCAAGTTCATTTTTGGTGGAAAAGGGAAAAAAATTAAAACACTAAAGCTTGGCATCCAAAAAGACTTTGAATCTCAGTTTTATAAACTACTGGCAAAAGTACCGAGCCTCTATGATTCTTACTTGCTTGTCTGAAGTTTAACTAGGATATGACTTATATTTATTTTCTCTTCCTAGTTTCTAGGACAATATTTTTCATTTAGTAAATCTTTAGTAATTGGTAGTGCCTGAGGGAGGCATGATATTTTAAAACAAATTTGGGGCTTTATTAATAATCCAATCAATTTCCTCCTGTATGTTTGCATCTACAACATCACTGGACTGTCCAGGCTCTGTGTGAGGTCTTTCAGGGATGAGATGCTCATTGGGCTATTATAATAGATTATAAGAGAATATATAATTATAATACATTGGACCATGCTGAACTGTGACTTTATAAAATCCTTCCATTTGTTCTGATCTGACTTCTCCAGCCATTTCTAAGAAGTCCCATCTTATTTCTTCCTTATATTCACACTGAATATTGAACACAGCTCTTAAATTTTCCCATTTCTTAGACCTAAATGAATATACTATCTTAATTTCATTGGCAGCTATTATAACATGTTTTATGTACAATGTAGAACAAAACATGCTACTGATGACACAAAACCAAATCAGAAGCCCATCTAACTACAAGATGGTTAATCATTTGATGACAGTTTTTCATCCTGCCCAAAGGTAGTCCAAAAATTTGTACAAATGACATGCTGCTAGTTGGACCTCCATTAGCAACATTCCTCTCATTCACCATTTTAGGTTTATAATTACTGACCAACTTCAGCTGGAGAGGACATTCCTTTTGTAATTTATAAATATTAACTATGCTACTGACTATGGGTCAAGGTTAACCTCTTAAATAGTTAGCATATGTAAATAAATATGAGTCTCCTGCCTTAATCTATATTGGTGAAATATTCTGGGAAAAAATTCAGTCAATCTAGTTATTTCATAATTCAAATAATACTGGCAATATAGGTGGTCTTTAGTGCATTGAGATACAAACAGAAAATTGCATTCTTGCAATTGTGACTTCATAAAAGCAAATGACATTTGGGGAAACTTTCTCCTAAAATTAAAACACTCACATTTGCTGAAGAGCAATCATAAATCACAAGCATTCTTTTCTGATGATTATTAAAAATATAATTTTCTCTTTTGAGTTCTATTTTGCTTAGTAATTACTTTCTATCCTATTGTATACCCTTTCATGACTACCTGAGTAGGAGCTGGTGAAATTCTATGTAGTCCCTTTCCAATTCATAAATTCTTCAGTTCAGTTCAGCTCAGTCGCTCAGTGGCGTCCGACTCTTTGTGACCCCAGGGACTGCAGCATGCCAGGCTTCCCGTTCATCACCAATTCCTGGAGCTTGCTCAAATTCATGTCCACTGAGTTGGTGATGTCATCCAACCATCTCATCCTCTGTTGTCCCCTTCTCCTTCCACCTTCAATCTTTCTCAGCATCAGGGTCTCTTCCAATGAGCCAGTTATTTGCATCAGGTGGACAAAATATTGGAGTTTCAGCTTCAGCATCAATCCTTCCAATAAATATTTCAGACTGATTTCCTTTAGGATGGACTGGTTGCAGTCCAAGGGACTTTCAAGAGTCTTCTCCAACACCATAGTTCAAAAGCATCAATTCTTTGGCACTCAGCTTTCTTTATAGTCCAACTCTCACATCCATACATGACTACTGGAAAAATCATAGCTTTGACTAGATGGGCCTTTGTTGGCAAAGTAATGTCTCTGCTTTTTAACATGCTGTCTAGGTCTGTTACAGCTTTTCTTCCAAGGAGCAAGTGTCTTTTAATTTCATGGCTGCAGTCACCATCTGCAGTGATTTTGGAGCCCCCTAAAATAAAGTCTGTCACTGTTTCCATTGTTTCCCCATCTATTTGCCATGAACTGATGGGATCGGATGCCATGACCTTAGTTCTTAGTTTAGTTTTTAGTTTTCTTAGAAGACATAATCACTCATCTGTTACCATTACTGCCCCTATGATGTCCTGATAATCTATATAAATTCATATTCTTCCTACCAGTGAACAATATAAATGTAGAGAAAATAAAGTACAACATATTTCATAAAATATGTGCTATGATATTCAAATTGTGCATTTATAATCTGCCCATAAGATGATGCTTTTTTTGAACACAAACATAGCAGAGTAAAAAAAAAAAAAAAAAACCAGAAAATCTGTCTTAAAATCAAGTCTTTGTTACTAAAATAGAAGTTTTGGAATATTATCTGGATGAATTCCAGGGAAAAATCAAAACAACAGAAATATCTTGCTTTACAGGCTTTCCCAGGTAAGAATAAATACTTTGCAAATAAGTATAAAATAGAAAATAAAGTTGTTTACTTTTTATTTTACTTTTAGCATATTGCACATCTGTTAAAATATATCCAGGGTCAAACAAATGTTTTTAAAATGAAAGCAAAATAAAAGCCCAAAAAGGGAATGAAAGGTGTCCAACTTCATTTTCCAGATAGTTTGAAAATCATCAGCCCATTGTTCAGCACAAGTGAGAAGTAGAAGCTATTCCCTAGATACTCACCATCTTCTCACGACACTTCATAATCCCAACACATTACATATTAGTTTCGGCTGAACAAGATGCCAAATGGGAGGAATTTTACAGTACAGAGGAGTCAGCATGGTGGAATGATACAGAAAATTTCAGCCAAGGCACATTCCCTTGGCTCTCAGTTTCCTTACAGCTGCCACAATACTTCCCAGAACACATCACATACAGTACACTCTCCTGACATCTGCCTCCCTGCGGTCCCAGTGAGAATTCTACAGGTTGATATACTATATTCTACTCAGGACTGGAGCATGAGACACCTCACCAGGGACACTTGATTAATTCTGCAAAAGCACACATTTATCAGCAGAGTGTATACACATAAAACTTCCAAAAATAATATTTATCCTAAGTCAGCTTACCATAAAAATGTATATAAGAGGAAAATATAGTGTTAGAAGGAAGGATCAAAATTATACAGAAGGAGTGATACCTGGAAAGTAAACTGAGACTCATCTATTCATTCCCTAATTATGGAGTAAAGCTCTACAAAATGTCAGGTAAGGCTCTTGTGACTATGATTCAATGAAAAGCAAAAACAGTCTATCCTCCAAAGATAACAGAGAAAATGAGATATACAATAAAATTGAATAGTGGGATAAAGTGAATGAGGGGACCCCTTAAACAAGGTTGGCCAGGAAGACCCCTCTGAGGAGGTAATATCTGAGTTGAGACCACAATAGCAAGACCAGGAAAGAGAAGACTTGGAGAAAGGTATTCAAGGCAAAGAGAAAAGTGCAAAGGGTCTTAGAAGAAGTCCTTTGAGGAAAAAAAAAAAAAGTGCTGCTTTGTCTGGAACCTCACAGGCTGGATAAGAAAGCAAAGTCCAAATCATCTAAGGCATTGCAGGTCAAGGTAAGGAGCTCAGATTTATTGCTAAATGATAGGAAAGTTAATGCAATTAAAATTAGTGCAATTTATACTTAGACTGAGCTCCCTAGCAACTGAGATCTTTATACTTGTTTTTTCTTAAGCAAGGAAAAATAGGGCTGTCATTGAAAGAAAAGGAATCTGGAAAAAAAATCAACAAAAATATTCTTTTTTCGATTAACTTGCCTTCCTATTTACTAGATTTTATTCTTGCCCATCCCCCTGCCCCCAGATTCTTTCATAAATCCTAGTTCCAATTACAGCAGAAAGAACAGGACACACAGAGATAGAATGAAAACTAACAACAGAACTGTGATGGTCAGTTTCATGTGTCAAATTAGATAGGCTACCATCCCTGATCAAACACTAACCTAGATGTTGCTGTTAAGATGTTTTGTAGATGTGACTGATGTCTATAATCACTTTACTTAAGTGAAGGAGATTATCCTAGATATTCTGAGTGGGCCTGATTCAATCAGTTGAAAGGCCTTAAAAAATAAAATTTC